CACAGATGGACAGAAAACATCCACAAATGCATTAATATTCAAGAATATAACTTTCCATTTTATGATGGATTATGTTTATTTTTTCAATAAGAAAGGAAACAATTTCAAAACAGTAAAAGAATGATATAACATACAATAACAAAAATGCAGAGTAAGAAATGTTAACTTTTAAAAAATATTTAAATGTACAAGTCCATCCAATAATTCATCCAAACTCAGTTCTCTTTCTTCAAATTTACTCCACAACTGAAATATTTTGAATTGTAAATCTTGATACTTCTTCTTTTGTATCTTTCTTAACTTTTTCTCGGACAATAACTTTTCAAAGATCTCTACTAACTCAGCTTCTCTTCTTAATTCTTTTATGAGGGAATACAAGTTCTCATCCATGTTCAAGTTTTTGTTAAGCCTGGAATGCCATGCCTCAACATGATTGTTTGTTCTCACAGCCAATTGATAGACAGACCAGAATTTAGGAGGCCAAATGCTGCTTTTAATAAATGTTTCTTCAATATAATCAAGCAAATCTGAAAAGAATTTCTTTTCACAAAGTTCTTCTTTTATTTGAAAAAACTTTTGTTCAATAAATTTTGCTGGAAGATAGGCCAAACACATCAATTTTTGTAACATTTTCCCTTTATATTCATTTTCTTTATAATCATTAATGTATCCAAGTTTCTAACAAAAAATTTTCTATGAATATTTAATTGTTTGCAGTATTGTTTAATCTACCTGAATGTTTCTCAAAATTGCTTGCTTGAAATGAAAAGAGCATCCTTGAAGGTCAGAATTAGGAAACTGGTCTTTAAGTGCCATCCATATAGCCTTTTCAAAATCAAGAACACATTTCCTGGGTGTTTTATCATTCAGTAATTTTCTTATCTCCTGTGTTCATTTATAAGGAGTTAAATTAAAAGTGAATATCATATTGAAAAATTTCAAACCTGAAGAACAGCAATATAGCAGTTTTTCTTTTTGCTACTCATCAGAACATAAATCAATGGAACCTGCTGATATTCATCATGTTTTTTCAAGAATCCATGAATTGAAAAGAGTTGATAAAATGGATCTCTAACAACTTTAAAAGTTGCATCAATGAACCAAATTTTACAACATTCAAGTAATTCTATTTGATGATTTGTACCAAATATAATACATCGATTTTTCTTTTCTTTTATATCTTTCAATAAGAAATCCATTGGAATTTCATCTAGATTCATTTCAAAGTGTAAATCTCTAGGATGCTTTGGTCTTCTATTCTCTTTATATCTGGAAGCTTTTCTTCTTAGTGATTCTAATTCTGGTAAGTCTTCAATATTATCTTTAAATTTAAGAATAATATCTTCTGCTATTCTTTTACCAGTTTTGTCATTGTCACAATTTGCCATTTCTTTCAAATCCATTCTTGATTGAAGAACATTTTCCAGATTTTTATACAACTTATGAAGATGGTTTCCCTTTTTTACAATGAAATTTGATCCTTTTTGTATTATGTATGCAGGACAAGGATTTTTAGCATATCTTTGAGTACATCTCCAGGTAATTGAACTCTCAGTTTTTCTTTTCATGGAATATGAACAATTTTTGTGTAGAAGTAAGTCTTTACCTTTGGTACTTCCACCAACAACAATTTTGAATTCATCTGTTTCAGTTTCCATAATGTTACACTGCTCATCCATCTCAAATGAAGTTTCATCACTGATGTCAACTTTCATATCTCTCATATCTTGCCTATTATCAGGAAGATTCACCTCTTTTTCAATATTTGATGATTCAGTTGAAATTAAAGTCAAAAGAGAGTCTCAGCTGTCAAAAATAATTTAGAGTGAGATATTAATATTTTTTAAGCATTGAAATTACCTGATTTGTGTTGCTTTCACTTGCATAATCCATTGAAGATTCCATATCAATATCACTTTCTTGAAGAATTTCACTCTGATGATAATTATCTATTTTCTTCAATTTAATAAATAATTGTCTTCTCCTGACATCATGACAATCAGAGCAATAATCTGTATCTTAATATATTGTACTTTGTTGTATTGTAATTGTAGGAAGTCCTAGCTCGTCACTATCAAATTCGTCCTCTCCAATCATTTACCAATGTGCCAAAGTACTGGTCCAAATAGAACCTTTCAAGTTCGTCCACAAGGAGTCTTAATAAATGTAATTCCAGTAAAAATTAACCAAAAACACCAGTATTTCATTCAAAGAATATGTATTTGAGTAAATGAGTTTCTAGTTCTAAACAAGCAAGTTTGAACAACCAGCTGATGGTTAGAAAACTGAACTGACTACTGTTAAATTCTAAGGGTTTATATACTTTTCCAATAGTTCACAGTTGACAGATAAAAATATTCACACAAACAAATGTAACAATTTGGATAAAGGGAAAGTTCAAATATACTTCCATGTTTGTTACTTTTTCTTTATCTTGGAGAACTTTTGCTCCCTATTTTAGTAGGTCAGAAAGTTGCCTAAGATGTAACAATTATTAATAGAAGTTGGATTGATTCCAAAACACAAAAATAGGAAAAGGTCAACTTGATGCCGTTTTAATATACAACAAATTATTAATAATAATTGTTTGTGTAAGATAATATGTTTCTGTGTAAAGGACTGGTAGGATAAAAGTATTAAACTTAATCATCCAATATAGTATTGTGCATACAATACTGTTGAAAAGTGACAATAATCTAAAAGCTCCAAATATAAATAGAAAAGTGGAAGATATAATTAATATTCATTAAATATGATGTGTATAATAATTAGGGTTAACATCTAAGTTGTAAAATAAAATAATTTTATTATTAAATAGTGTATGTTGTAGTTTTAGGCGTGTAGAGTATTCTATAATACTCTTTCAATATTGCTTTCCATCGATGAATGAAATGTAATATTTTGGGTGTATTGTGTGAATTTGTGAGCCTGGTTATAAGCTTATGTGTTTAGTACCTATGAACTGCCTAAATGTGTACAGTAGGAAATAATAAAAAATTTCAGAAAAAAATTTTTTGAAAATTTTTTGAAAAAATCTTTTCTCTTGGAAATTGTTTTAAATGTCGATTTTGGTGTATTTTTTCTTTGACTGCTTCCCAAATTCCATTGGGACTCTTGAAATGTGAGAATTCTGTTTCTCTTTTTTGATTTAATCAAAAAAAACCTTTCCAAACCTAACCCTAACCCCAAGACCTAAACCCTAACCCTTGATGAATTGAAACAGGATTTGAAGGATACTAAGGGTCTATGTCATGATCAAAAGATGGAAATTGATGCTTTAAAAACAGAAAATGTTCAGCTAAAAACAGAACTGGCTAGAGCCAAGGAAAGTATTAAGCTACTTAACCAACACCAGGACTCCAACACCAACTACAACACTGGGGAGGAACTATCTCAGGATAAGTGGCCTAAAGAAATTAACATCCCTGGCAGATGTATACTTAAGGTGTTCCCTCTGCCAGAACTTCAGATTGTCACCAAAATTGATGAACCCCCACAGGTTGACCTGACCATAGTACCTGAAAAAGACAACACTGGTCTGGTGTCTGGTGAAGAGAGCTCTTTGGACAGTGGTGATGACTTCATTATTTGTCCCCCTACAAAAGGGTTAGGGTCTTGTTATTAAAAGAAAAATAGTCAAGAAAAGGGAGCATGGAGATGGATTGATGGATGAGATTCCTGAAAACAAGAAAAAGAGAATTGACTAAGTTTATATATATTCCTATATGTTCGCCTGTGTATTGTTTGTCTCTTGTCATTTTTGGTTATACTTTAACACAACAGATGGCGCCAGTGCAAGGGTGGCCTGTTGTTATATTATGTAATGTTTTTTTATGTTCCTGTGGTGAAGGGTATAAATTGATTATAATGTTCAGTTAAATTTACAACCTGATGAAGCCTCAAGTAGAGGCAAAATATTGTTGTAATATGTTTTAAAGTTTAAAATAAAAAGTTGATGAAAAAGAAAAAATTGAATTGTTATTGAATAAGACTAAGAGTTTGACAGAGAACTGAAGCACCAAGGAGCTCAGACATAGAGAACTCCTACCTATTGGAAAATTGGTAGAACCCTGGAACACCAACTAACCAGTTCCCAAAACCTGACTAAGACTGGGAGCCCAGATCTATAATCCTGACCAAGGAGAACCCCTACCTAACATTGATTAAAAGTTAGGTATTACACTGGAACACTAGCTAACCAGTTCCCAAAAACATTACCAGAGTTGTGTGAGTGGCCTAACCCATAACCCTTACCAAACCCTAACCCTATTCTCATAAAAAATAAACTTGAGCAAAATTATTGTAGGTGTGCTAATAACCGCCAACATTGAAAGCAATAATGTGGTTCAAACTTGGAACAATAATCTCCCTGACTACTGTTACTAAGTGAATAATAATTCAAATGATATTTTTAATGGCTTTTTCATTTGCCATCAAGAAGTCAGATTTTCAATTTCAATTTTTAGAAAGGAGAGAACAGGGTTATCAGATGAAATTGAGCCTATAATGCAAAGAGTTGTTCGTAATAAATGCTTGGTGAACTACGAGACTTTTCCTTATAAGCACCCACAGGTGGATATAAATTGAACTAACTTCAGAATTCAATTCTGATATATTTTGAAATGCTTTTGTAATGATAGGAATGGTAAAATACAAATTGGAACCACCCGATAAACCACTCTTGCTTGGTCAATCAATTTCAAGTTACAACAGTTCAAATAGCAGAGTAGATTCAGGGTCATTTCAAAAGAAAGAATTTTCAGAACTAATAACATTATGGAAGGATGGCACAATAGAATGAATAATAAAGTACAATCAAATTGAAAAGTAATACTGATTTGGTTTGTATTTTTGTTAAACCTCTTATGAAATATCATGTTTGGACTGTCTGCAAAACACAAAGTTGTCATCCCTACAAATGGCTTTCACTCGAAAAGCTCCTCTCTTCTCTACACCAGAAACTTAGAAAACATGCCCAAAATCATGGTTTAACCCTAACCCTAACCTCTAGCCCTTGTCTCTGTCTAACCCCTGTTTGATTAGTCCTGATATTGACAAATGCGGATTTATACTCAGACTCCTAACCCTTTTCCACTCCAGTTTACTTTTCTTAGATCCTTAGTTCAGACCCGCACTTTTAAAGAATGTCAGCTACAAAACACTGTTTTCAATTCGTTTTAACTCATAATAACCTTATGATTATGGGTGTAGTGCGTTAATTAAAAGGTAGATTTATAAAGATGGTGCATCAAACGAAAGCAGATGTGAAAGCAGCTGCTACAACATATATGTTAATTATATAATTATGAATATTCAAATAATGTCCCACGAAGGATTTCACAAGCAAGTATCTTATCATTATCCTTTTCATTGGATAGTAGAATGTTTATATAAATATAATTTTCAACGTATCCTTCTGATGTTTTCTTACAAAATTCTACTTTAACCCTGTTCTCATTTTCGTTCAGAACTTTATATTTCATAACTATTTCGACGCTTCCTTCAAGAATTTCCATTCTGTTAAAGATGATAACTGGTTGTGAACCTTCATTCAATGTTTCTTTACCATTTAAAAATTCATATTCAAAGTAGACGTAGATGAACAATAGAAATTGCTATTTGGTTTATAAAACAACCAATCGTACGATTATATTGAATTAGTTAAAAATGAGATATTTTAAAAATTTTTACATATTGATTTTTCTTTTAGAAAAATTTTATTTAAAAGTTTTATTGTTAATTTTTCCTCGAAAATGTATTTGTCTTTTTTGCAGTAGTTTCTTTGCAGTAATGCCAATTCCAAAAATATCTTTACTTTCTTCAAATATTGTCAATTTAATAAAATATCTGTATTGAATAATGAATTGGTTCTTCTCTTTCTATTTGCAGAAGAACAAAGATGAATGGCATATTAACAAAAACTGAACCCTAAACTTTTCATAGTATCACTTAAAGTTTCGTGATTTTTCAACATTATTCAATTTCTATTCAAAGTTTCCATGAAACAATTGTTAATACTATGAGAAGGTTAGGTCTTGGGGTTAGGGTTAGGGTTAATAAATTAAAGATATTAAAAAGTATAAACATACATTGTACAAAATATCCTCCAATTTTAAATTGTTTTTAAAAGACAAACAATTTCTATGAAAATTTAATATCGATAACGTAACGTCTTTTAATAGAGCAATATGTTTATAAGTTTTGAAAAAGCCAATAGAAAATATAGGCTTATTTATAGTTTGAAATTGCCAATTGTAACAATAAATATTATTTGCGGGATCGTTTAAGAAATTGATAACTACAGAAAAATAAACAATGAACTGTAGTTAATGTAATTATTACGGAAAAGAATTTACATTCTAATTTTATTTTGTCATTCTCCATTTTAGCTATTTCGTATCTGAGCGATAAAAACAAATGAAAGCGAATGAACGACTCAATAAAACTGGTACATACTTTTTTTGAATTCTCCTTAACAGTAGATCGTAAATATCGTTAAACGAGTAAATAAATGGATTTAATACTGAATTTAGTGGTAAAAAGATGACGATAATAGCAGAATAAGTGTTACTATTTATCTGAAAATTTGCCATTAGCGAAGTAATTCCTATAGATAAATTGATGAAGAAAATAATAGACTAATGAAAAAAACATAAACAAACCAAATAAAGTGAAAGGTAAGCAAGTAATTAAATTCGTAGCAACAATGATAAACGCAACAGAAAATACTTTAAATAAACTTCTAGAAGTGTTTGCATTTTGAACGGAAGTCTTAACTTTTATTATAATTCTTGTATACAAAATACAAATAGAAATACTAATAACAAATATGAAAAGACTGAAAACCAGAAAATTATAAATCCAATTTCTATTCAATTTATTTTCTACATGAATATTAAAGCATATTGAAGATTTTCCAAAAAAATCCTATTTTTTTTTTTTATTCCTTCAGTTAGCTTTTTTCTTATTGTAATTTTATAATTTATAATCTACCTTTAGAATAAAAACTGGTAGCAACGATATTAAACAACTCATAACCATTGCTGATAATGCAATTACTAGACTCTTTGACTTGAAAATTGATTTGGAAAAGAGAAAGACAATACTCTGGTGTCTTTCCAGTGTAAGTAAAAGTATGGAAATTGACGATTGGATTAGAGACCAGGTCATTAACGTTCCGAGAAATTTACATAAAATACTCTTACGCCAGTTTCCACTATTTTCCAAGTATTTATTTTTAAAGTATAAATCAGCAATGGCAATTGATAATAGATACAATGAGGTTAGGCCATCACTCAAATTTAATAGTAATCTATACGATTTCAATGTTGTTTTCTTAACGGTCAATAAAAATGATAGAAAATTTCCAACAATTCCAAACGAACCAAATGCCCAGAATAGTATTCTAATTCCTCTTAAACCCAATATATTTGAACATGTGTTAAAGTGGGACGATTTAGGTTTACAAGTCACGTGACTTCCTATAAATTTCCATATTAGACAACACAAATAGAATGATTTATTAAAGACTTTTCGAAGGGAATTTAAACTTTTTGCAATATCATTATGAAATTCGAGAGGAAGGTTTGTATCGTTTAAATGTAATTCATACAATGTTGGGAAATATTTGAAAAAATCATCAGCAATACTAAATATTTGACAATGTGAAATTTTTAAGATTTGCAAATAATTAAGAGAATAGAAACGATTGTTTAGGCTATTAAATAAATTTTTTGAAATATCTAAATATCTTAAATTCGGAAAATTAATTTCACTTATTTTGGATAAATTTTTAATTTTATTGTCAGAAATATCGAGATATTGTAAAAGTAATAATGATTTCGGCGTATTTTCCATAGATTTAAAATTCAAATTACAACTTGTAATTGTCATAAAAATCAAGTTAGGATAAATTTTGAATGGTAATTGTGAAATTTTTGAATTTTTTGTAATAAAAAGCGATTTTAAACCGGTCAGAGTTTTCGTTTTGTCAATCTCAATAGTTCCGTAGATTGATAATTTTTTTACTGTAATAGGCAATGTCAAGGTTATGGCTTTGTTACTTTTACATTCGAATTTGTATGGAAGTATTTGACGACAAAATACGGATGAGAAATGGTGACGATTTAAAATACAGAATATTTCATCACTTCCATATAAACAATCGACAATTTCATTGCATACTTTGTTAATTAAAATGTATTTCGATTCGTTTCTACACTTGAAAGCTCCTTTTGGAATGAAATTTTCTAGGAAAAATTATGAAAACTGGTAAAGTTTTCTTTCTCTCTCTCTCTCAATTAAGCTACCGCAATCTATTTCATCTTCATTATTGAGGCAATGATTAACGCCATTGCATAAAAGTTGAATAGATATACAATATTTTGTCCATTGGCACAAGTATTCGCCGTGTTGGCAAGTCTTTCCTTCACATTTGCTCAGCTCATTAAATGGAAATGTAAATTTTGCTAATAATTTATGTTTTAGAGTACAATCTCTCTTTAGATTGTGATAAATTAACAGACATTCTCGGGATGACTCATCGGCAAGATCTTGGCAATCAACGTGAAAATCACATACTCTCTCCTTAGTTAAACACTTTTCGGCGCATTGAAATTGAATATT